TTTAGCCTTGAAAACTAGTAAGACTTTCTTTCTGCTGCTGAAGGAATCACAGAAGGACAAAAAGCGGAAAACATCCCTGCACCCTACAGCTGAGAGAGCAGAACCTAGCACTCTGGCTCCACAAAGCGGCTCCAGTGGAGAGCAGACGGAGCTCTGTGCAGATCTGTCCTCTTCAGTGTGGAGACAGCATGCAGATTCGAACCCGCTTCCGTATTGTTTGTAACAGGTCCTGGCACAGGTGCTTGTGACATAGGAGAAATACAACTCCCAACCTGCTAGATGTCACACAGGCACGGAGTTCGTGTCCCCTGAAATCCAAGAATGAATTCCAGAGGACAAAGGAGGTAAGAGTAGGAAAATGTATTGGGGAATAAGAATGGGGAATAGGAACAGTTCCTGAGAGACAGGAGGAGTCCCGAGTGGGTTGCTTCTGAGCCCACTTCTCTGAGATTTTATACCGCAAAGTTATGAGGCGGATACAACATGGGTCAAAACTGTAATCAATCAATAAGATTACAAGTATAGCCACTTGGCTAATACTGATCCAGTAGTAACAAAGGCATGTGGATGACATCAGTTACCCTGGCCAAAATCTCTAGTCTTTGTTTTGTTTTGTTTTTTGCGGTATGGGGAATTGAACTCAGGACCTTGAGCTGATATCTCTAATCTTAATCTTTGTTTTAGTCTTCCTTGATGGGTGAGGATGGCCCACCACAGTGAGGTAATAGTTCATTTCTTTGGGAAATCCCAAAAGGGTAGGGCCCATTACAGAATCATCTCCAGCTTCCATTCATCCCTGAGGGAAGTATGCAAATCTGGCCATTGTGACTTTAATCTCCAGGTCCTGCCTCCTTCAGAGGCTCCTCCTGCCACAGCTTTGATGTCGCCTTGAGAGCCCAGTCCCTTTCTGGCTGTATATTAATATTTCTCTAATTTAGCTGCCTATAATATTTGTACTACCAATCTTCGGCTGAGGTTGGAGGATTGGTGACAGCTTGAGGCCAGCCTGGGCTACATAATGAAACCCTGCCTCAAAGAAAAAGGAAAGAAAGAAGCCACTCCCCTGGGTACAGGGGCTGTAGGAAGCGCCCAGACGGGCCTGGGGGACCTGTCTGAACTTCCCCGGGCTGGATCCCTCTGGAACTGTTGCATTTTAGGGATGTTTAGTTTGTTTTGGGAAAAATCGAAATTCTGTGTGCGTGTGTGTGTGTGTGTGTGTGTGTGTGTGTGTGTCTATGTCTATATGTACATTCATTGTGTGTGTGTGTTTGTGGGAAGCATCCTAATATTTAATTTCTGACAGTTAATTTGGTAAACCTTATGCAGGCTCATGGAGCATTGGCTTATTTAAGGGAGCAATGCTACATAATTTTAGGGTAAAATCATTTGGTTAGCCTAGTTCTCCTGCCTACAGCCCAGCTATGGAATTCCGAAACATAATTGCATTTCGGCCTCCAGTCACAACTGAGACCTCAATGATCTGGTGATGACGCTGTGATTCTCCAGGACAAGAAACATCCTGGGAGCTGAAAACATCCTGGGAGAACAAACATCTACTCAGTTCCTCCTTGTTCTTGGATTGTTACATCTTATTTATGCAGGATGTACTGAACTCTCTGCAAGTCATTTGATATATTTGTTTCTCCCGAGGTGTGCAGTAAGCTGGGGGCTTTCGTCTAGCAGCACTGATCAGACCCAAAGCTCAGCTTCTTCTCAGTCTCATTTTTCTACCTTTCCTGTAAATCGCTGTGTGCTGCCGTGGCTTGCAGGAGACCAGGACTCACTGCAGAGGTTCTGGTAACGCCCCCTTCCCCTGTTCCCTACAGCTTATGTTATTGTTTTAACTCCCTCAAAACCCAAGACCATTGCCCTGAGCTACATTCCCAGCCCTTTGTATTTTTTGAGCCAGAATCAAACTTAAGTCACTAAATTGCCCACGCTGGGCTAGAACTTGCAATCCTCCTGCTTCAGGTTCCCAGCATTGAAATTAGTGCACTCCCAGGCTCCCCAAAGCTTCTGAGGATCATGAGGTCAGGACTTGAAGCACAGCAGGGAGCATTCTGGATGCCCCTTCAGGGGTCGCTTCAGTGACCCAATGAGTGAGTATCCCCACACGCCAGTCTCCCAGTCACGGGTTTCTGGGGGAGGCAGGTAGGTGCTTGGTCTCCTCCTTGGAGGGCCCTCACTCCTGGGCACCTTGGCCCAGCCATGCAGAGATGATTCTGTCCCAGAGCCTCCCAGAGCAGCAGCAGCCGCTGACCAGAGCGACTTTGAATACACTTCGCAGTGGTGGCTGGATCTTGACTTGCTTCACATCTCGCGGAGTTTCTGTCCCCAAAGACACCTGAAATAAAATGCTGGGCCTGGGGGCGCTCTGTGCCACCCAGACAGCCCTGCAAGGTCTCCTGTGCAACCTGGAAAGTGTGGACTGGCTGAAGCTCCTGGCCCAGTGTGATGGCCCAGCGACAGTTCGGATTCCACCCCGTGGGGAAGGTGTTTCTGGTCCTTGTCACAGTGCCATGCGGGGGTCAGAGCCTGCCCTGCCACAGGCTGAGCCACGTGACCTGTCAGCAGTCCCCACCAGTGAAGCAGGTGCATGGGCCACCAGGGCCTGCAGAGCCATGCAGGGCTTTAGGTGTCGCCTGAATGAAGCATCAGGAACTGTAACTCACAGCCCCCGCAGTGGCCTTGAAGCCTGTGTGCAGGCCCCGGTAGGGGATCTCGCCTCTCCGCCCATGTGACAGGCCGACAGGCCGAGGCCTCCCCCAGGCCCTGCAGGGCTGGGACCTGTCCCAGGGCGGAGACGCTGGCCCGCTCCTCTCCACCCTGGGAATCCCCTACCTGGCCAGAGGTCCCTTCTCAGAGCTCGTCTGGAACACAGCAGTGTGGATGTGCGGGCACTTGATAGTCCCAGGGGGACCCAAAATCCTACTGTGAACACCATTCTACAGCCTTTCTCCCTCAGCACGCCTGCCACGAGCCTGGCATTACCTGGGGGCTAAAATACTAAGCATTATCATTACTGGGCCATTCCCATAATCCAGGCCTCTGCACTATTTCCAGTGCTTACAAGGATCCCGGAAATGGCTGAACGTGCTCTTTCCCCACCTGGCCTGCACTCCCGAGGCCCCCACAGCCCACCAGCGCCCCTCCAGCACCCCGGAAACAACCCCTGCATCCTTGCGAAATCTCCACAGCAACTCCTCCTGTTTTTCTCTTTTTATTAAAAAATAGATCAAGAAAATATACACGCTGCAGCCTATCCCTCACAACAGGCCCCGAGGAGACCACCGCGCCCTGGGCATGAGCAGAGCCATCCTGAGTGCCCGGCTGTGCCCTGGGAGATGGCATCTGGGCCTGGCACTTAGCAGGTGAGGGTGGGCGGCAAGAGGAGAGGTCCCTAGCTGGAGCACAGGGGGACAATAGGAAGTGGCCTCCAGACTTGGGGTACAGGTGACCCCCACATCCCCCACCTGGAGGCTGGCCCCGGACTCCCCACCTCTGTCCCATGGGTCCCCAGGCTGAGCCACAGCCCCTCAGGCATTGATGGTCTTCCAGCGCTCGCTGTCCGTGCTGTTGATGCTGCCTGTGTGGCAGGGCATGGAGGCCACATCATCCAGGTAGGCCACCCCACCAGAGGCAAACTGTGTGCTCGCGGCCCCAGAGGCCTCCACACCTTCCCGCCGGGCCACAGCATAGGGCTGGGGCAGGTGCATGTCTGGCTCCTCGGTCTCGTCCACTTGGCATTTATAGGAGAACAGGATCTTGGGCTCCGAGCTGGTGTCGGAAGAGAGGGGGCTGAGGGGCAGTGCAGGGGCCGCAGGTCTCTAGGAGGTATGCTTACTGCTGCCCCAAAGCTGGTGCCCGAGTCCAGCAAGCATGGCCATAAACCCGGCCCTTCCTCGGGCCCTGGGAGCTGGGGCAGGCAGCCCTGAATCAGGAAAACTCTGGAAACCCAGGCTGGGGCCAAGCCCTGGTCCCAGGACCCTGTCCACTGGGCCTTCCCCATCCCTCAATGCTCAGGACGGCTCCAAGGGGAAGAGGCTGCTTCCAGCTTACAAACAGGAGCCTGAGTCTCTGTGTAGAGCCCAATTCGGGACCCATCCTCACCTCTCCTGCTCCCCCAGCTCCATCCAAGGGCCTCCAAACACCCAGACCCGTCCCACCACACCAGCGGCTGAGCCGATTGGATCCCAAGTCTGCAGCTCCCCAGCCCGGCCCTTGCACAACCACCACCTGCAAGGCCTTCACCCCACGGGGCTCACGCGCCCGGCCTGGACCCTGGACCTCCCTGCTGGAGTGCGGGCTCCAGGCAGGCTGGGGTGGCGTGGATCCTGCGGGGTGTGTGCGCACAGCAGGCGCTCAACCCTGCTCCCTGAGAAGGACTAGTGTTACTGAGGGAGAGGCAGTGCTGCCACCCACGCTCTCGCGTGGGAATGTGAATGTCCATGCTCACCGCTCCGTAGTATGGACATGGAAGAGTCTGTGCCAATGCATGGTACGGACACACACGCACCCACACCCAGCCCTGCACAAGGCGCGATCCCGCCGGTGGCCACGCGGGGGCGCTCGAGCCCGGAGGCGGTGCAGGGCCAGGCTGGGGGAGGGAGGGGCGTTCCAGCGGACTCACCCGAAGAAGCTCCGCAGGAAGGCCACGTAGATGAGTGGTGCGAAGAAGCTGAAGTAGAGGAAGGTAGTGGCGTCCACGCAGCTGGGAGGGCGGACAGAGAGTCAGGGGGCGGGCTGCCCCGCCCGGCCATGCCCCAGCCACACCCACGTCCCTGGCGTGCGTACCAGAGCCCTTCGATGATGTTGGCACACAGCAGCGCGCTGCCCAGCCCCTGCACCAGGTTGAGCAGCGCCAGGATGCCCGCATACACGTAGAAGCTCCTCCGCGCTGTGGAGGGCGGGGGGAGTCTGAGGTCCTGCCTCGTGGGCCAGGCTCCGCCCCCTCCTATCCCCGGGTCCCCCCACCCCGGGCACCCGCTCACAGGGCAAGGAGATGCGCTCCTTCAGCGGGGTCTTGGGCAGGACCACCACCAGCGAGTAGACCTGTGGAGAGAGGACAGGGCTGGGGGGCGCGGGGAACCCTGCTGGCCCCGGGGTCTGCCCAGCACTGCCCTCCCCTGCCCCAGCCCTGTCCTAGCCCTCACCAGGAAGAAGAAGCAGGAGCTGACCAGCCAGAACTGGCGGCCCCCGTGCCCGTAGATGTTGAAGTCCTCGGCAGACAGGTGGGCGTCAGGGTACAGGATCTCCAGGGTACCCTGCACGGGGAGGGCCTTTCCTGAAGCAGAGCCCCTCTGGGTCTCCACCTTGCTGCCCCTACCCCAGCCTGCTCCCAAGGCGAACCCCAGCACCCAAACAGGCCCAGCCTGAGCCAGGGCAGCAAGGCGTGAGGTGCCGCCCCCGGCCTCTATCTATGCAACTTTCCCTGGGCCTGCACACCTGCGTCTTCCCTACCTGGGCTGCAGGTTTGCGCCCCCCCCCCCCACTTGCATGCCCTGGGTCAGAATCTCTAGTGGGGGTCCCAGGACCTGCCTGGGGACAGGCACCCAGGTGAACTAACAGTCTGCCAGCCACACCTGATGAGCTTTCCAACCTGGCTCCCTCCTCGTACCTGGGTGACCGAGTAGGTGAGCGACAGCACAGTGGTGATGGCCAACACCCGCTTGATGCTTGACTTGCTCTCCAGGTGACCTGGAAGGGACGCAGCTCAGCCAGGGGCAGGCAGCCCAGAGAGGGTGTCAGGTCGGCCCTACCCTGACAGGGGAGGGACAGGGGAGCCCCCATGGCAACGCACCGAAGGCCAGGCCCAGGATGACCACGCTCAGCTCAATGGCCAGCAGGAAGAAGCGGGTGATCTCCCACAGGATCTAGACAGAGTGGGCCGGGTCAGCCTGGGGTCATCCACCCAAGGCCAGGCCTCCCTCTCCTCCCTCTCGGGCCACCCAGACGCACCTTGTCGGCCACCGTTGCGGCACTGGAGGTGCTGACTGTCATGGACACCACAGCCCGGGCAATGCCCACCAGGGCCACCACGAACACCTGGGGGGTGAAGGAGGGATCGGGCGTGAGTCAAGGTCTGGGAGGGGCGGGCCAGCAAGCCCAGCCACCTCTGCAGGGGTCCTCCTGATGCCAAGGAAGGAAGTGACCAGTTGGAGCGGGAGGCAGGG